TAGTCGGAATTGAACATTAAAATACCTGCAGAAATGAGTGAAAATCGGGGACTTTGATCCCCTGTATCTCGAAAACCCTGTATCACTCCGGAAGCCCCGGACTGTCTCGGGACCATGTGCATTCGATGGTCCGCCCGAAGTGACCCGATAATCATTACCCATGACGGCACAGGTTTTTTCACGCCAAAATTGGGGGAAAATGGGCCCAAAGCACCCCTAAAATCCAAAAAAAGGCCCATTTTTCGGCCAATGAAGCTTCGGACCGATTCAGGACCCTGCTCAATCGATTCCTGGTCCAAAAATACGTAGAGTCCATCACACATGTACCATTTTACATATGCACAACCCATCGGAATTTAATCATCGATCGTCTTTGAAGGCCATTTTAGCGCCAAAAACACAAAAATCGATTTTATTTTCGAAGAGCTCGACAGAATATTTTCATTTTAGGCTTAAATGACTGTGTGTGCATCCTACTTCAAGATCCCGAAGGAATTTTGAGTGGGCAACACAATTTCATTTACCTCCCTTTGAAACGAACCGTGCATTGCTTCTGATAACCGAATTTAGAAAGTTTTCAAAAACATTCTCTTCCTCTTCTTGACTCATAACCCGATGTATTTACGAATTTTTACAGGTAAAAAAAATTGCAACTAAGGAAATCCTGCAGAGAGGCACATTAGGTAAGTGCAAAAAGCATGCATGATTACACTTAGATAATAGATTCTCGTAGGTTTTTTTTTAGCAGTTCGGTACCGAGGACTGATTTGGAGATAATCAACGATACTGATGTCCTGCATGCAATTTTTGACGAAAGCTACGCTTGGCAGTACCAACTAAAGACACTACTTAACTGACGGTGAGTGTCAACTATAGGCTACAGAACGTTTTTAGTTTTCGCGACATCACTGCGGAAAAAAGTTTACGTGAATCGCATGGTTAGGCGATGTTACAACGATGTAATTTCGGACGGCTCGACCGAATCCCGGGGTTAGTAACATCCTCACACCCGATTCGGGCGATTGAAAATTGTCGTTCCGGTTCGTCGAACGACGCCATTATATCGAAACAATTTTGACTAGGTTAAATGTGGTTTGTCGAACTATCGTTCGAGAAGCTAGGAAAGATTCCATCGTCTAGACCCGGCCTTAAGATAACGCGATAGTTTATGCAAACAAGTACATAACTTGCAGACGAAGAGAGGTGGCCAAGCGTTGCTAGAGCGCCTGCAACCTCTTGTGTAGGCAATACAGACATCTCTTGAGCTCGAATAGTTGCATCCAGTCGCCGCTATTTACAGAGCACGGCGCCTTCAATTTTTTCCGCGGTTTCAGGACATTCCGTCAACGATTTTTTGTCCGCGCACCTATTTTGTTCAGTAGTTTACATCTACGCGTAAATAAGCAACAGTGACTTAGTCCAAGCGTTATATTTTAGTCCGTTTGTAAAAATATCTTCACAATATTGCAATGAGAAAATTGAGAGAGAAAGATGTGTTGTTATAGTAACTCATTTTTTAAATGAAATGTTACTTCCTTCTTTGGATTCATCTTTTCCAATTGTCATCGGTGAATATTTGGTTTTATTTCAATCCTTAAAATTTTCCATCTAAAATATACCTTGTACATACCTTTTTTTTTAAAATGACAAAATTTTTTATTATTAAAAACATTTACATTGTTAAGACATGTCAAATATTTGTAAAACCTTTTCCAAGCGATGGCATCGATATTAACATCAATGAGCCGTACTTGTGTTGAAAGAAAGTATACAAAAATTAATAAAAGAAGGGGAAACCAAGAAGCACGCAATCTTTGGTTTTAACACATTTGGACTACATTTTGCAATTTGGACCTATAGATTCTAGCCCGGTTTAAAAACAATGTATGTGCCATTAGTTTCCCTATGCACATAAGTGTTTTTCCAGAAGAGCCAGACTCTTTAGTTCCAAATTGCAAAATGCAGTCCATTTGTACATCGATCTTCTAGAGTCAAACACGTCCAATTTTGAGCGTTTGGTTGCATGCACGCCACGCTGCAGTACTGCAAAAGCACAGAATATGGAAAATAAAATTAAAGTGCTTTGAAAATCATTTAATTTGACACTGAACCACCTTAATATTTACAAAACGCGCATTGTATTTTCCTTTAATACCTGTTTTTTTTGTTTTTTTTTTTATCAATTTAAATGAGAATAATCCATGCAGAGTGTGTAAACATTTCAAAAGAGTTGAAAAACGCTGACTCCGCGAGTTTAAAATTTGAGCCAAATAGAGCGGAGCGGCACGCAGCGTGCGGCCAGCGCGAC